ATCTTCATTGGTAAGATGGATCCTAAGGAATGTTGGACTCTCCTCGACGTAATTACAGTGGATTCCAGTTAATTTGGACACATCGGGGCTCGAACACTTTGGTCCGATTAAGCAGCTGTCCCAATTATTTGAAGTTCCACGTAAAGAGTTACTAAAAAGTTTTGTTCTTTAAGATTTGTCCCAAATAAAAGGCTGACCCGATAAACCGGTGTCCCAATTTAACGAAATCTACTGTATTTAGTGAAGGGTTTTCAATTACCGCTATAAATTTATAAATTTATTGTATACAGAATACAAATCAACGGCAGAAATGAAGTCCTAAGGACATAGACGGGTATTTAATTGTTGTCGGGTACAAACGTTTCGGTGGAACATGCTTACTCCGTCTACAGGGTATAAGGAACATCAGTAACCATTGATAGGATACACGGGAGTACAACCCCGATGACTTTACTTGCAGATAATATAAAGATTTCGATAATATCAAATACATTTTTCTTTAAAAAAAATCTTTTGGAAAGTAGTTCCTTACGACAAACGAAACTTGACAGATGTTTATTACACTCATAATAGAAATGCTTTCCAAAATACATTTGTGAGAAAGCTGGCTGACGTTCATTATACAGCGTGTTCGCCGATAAACTGGAACGCAACTCTCACTTACCGACTCCCGACAGAAATTGCATCACTCACCGATAAGCGCTACAAGATTTCTCCTATACAAGTCGTTTATAACTCCACAAAACAATTAAATAAAGTTATTTTTGTTACAGGACTTGCTGTAAAATCATGTCCAGTTAATCGGCGAACACCCTGTATATTAAATTTAAAACAAATTTCTAAGAAACAAACTGGCGAGTGACGCCTACGATACGTCGAAACAATTACGTAACTACCACTTTCATGACAAGAAACACATTAAGCGAAAAGTAGTAACTTAGATATATTTCAGGTCGTACGTTAGTGTCAAAATTTTTACAAGGAATTCTCAGGGCAGTGTTTTGAGAACATTTCTATTTCGTAGTTGTTATTAGGGCAGGAAGAGAGAACAGTATTTCCCGGATAGCCATGGAAGCTATTAGCCTCACGTCAATAATAAAACCTCTCTATTACCTTTGTAAAGTATTTGGATTGGCGTCATTTTGTCTCTGTAACAATTGTGGTAAGAAGAGATACACATTTCTTCACTCTGGTGCGTGGTTGTCGTTGTCTTGGGCTCTGATATACGCGGTGAACTCATGCTTGGTAATAAACTTTATTGTGCAAGACAGTGATATTCCTGATAATATCGCAATTGCTTCTGTACTGTATTACTTATCACTGCATTTTACAAGTATAATTTATCTTTGTTTGTGTAATATTTTTAGGAGACGCAATTTACCCTTAATTATTGACAAAATCGAAGAATTGTGTAATATTTTTACAATGAAAGTGGATACAAATTTGGTATACAAGAGAATGAAGTGGTTTGTTATATTTGAAACAACTGTTCTACTATTGATCAACGGCACTGTTAACGCAATTTACTTATATTCCGAGTACGACTCTTCAATATTGGAGACATTCTGGCTTATTGTCGAAGTAATAGGCTCGCTGTGTAACTCATTGATAATAATTCAATTCGTGAGCATTGTTATGTTACTGAAATATATATTGAAATGTATTAACCATGAGCTTGGATACTGTTACGATGTACTTAAGGATTCTTGTAGATATTCGATAATAAGAATTCAGCCTGGAGGTCTAAAAACATTTCGGTCACCCGGTACGAAGCTTATCAGTTCTCTATGTAATAAAGTCCATGGATTGAGAATAACTTATTCAAGACTTAGTGCTGTGATCAGTCTAGTTAATTCTTATTACGGATTCACGATTCTCATGTTGGTCTCGTGGTTGTTTATAACCATTGTCACTGTCCTCTACGATGCATTGTTACTATTCTTTGACAGTGAACATACTGACAATCTCATTGAATACTACTATGATGTTTTTGATGCTCTTTCGTTGTGTATTTACTCTGTAATTTTAATGGCAGTGATAACAACTTCGTGCCATCTTATTAGCGATGAAACTGAAGACACAATATTTCATATACAGAATTTGCTTTTGTGTCGCGATATTGGGAAAGAAACTGAAAAAGAACTTACGATTTTCTGTTCTCAAGTGAAATACTCAAAACTTGAATTGACGGCTTGTGATTTATTTAAATTAAACCTTCCGTTTATGAAGTCTTTCATAAGCGCGTGCTTTGCATACTTTGTAATTGTGTTCCAATTGAAATAAGGTGCAGGTTGTATACACTGATTGTTCACTGGCTGTAGAAGTATAAATTATTGTTGAGTCTTAAAACATAACAGATTACAATTGTTTAATTTTAACCGTTTAATCACAATAACATATTTTATTAAATATTAAAATATTATTACTACAATTAACATTTGATATTTAAAATATTTAAAATATATTAAAATGATGCTCTTTCTATCGAAATGTTCGATTTACAATTAGAGCATCATCTTTTTCACGACATGTTTCGGTTTTCAATGAACCATCTTCAGGTGTATAATCGATATAAATTCAAATGTAATATTCTAAATGCAATCCTTCGTCAGATGTCCATTAAATATCAGTTATCCTCTTCTAGATCAATAATGAAAAGATTTATTGCTCTAGAAATTAGTTCAGAAGAGAACCCAACCCGTGACAGCTGAATAAATTATCAATGACAAATTAACGTGCAGGAAGGTTCGTCCTCTGACAGTAACGGTTCAATTTACAAACCACGCCTAGTGACAGAATAATTCGAACAAATATACGTCGCATAATCTGTCAATTCTCGAGATCGATAACAACAACCTGGTGATACGTCTCTGTTACAAACTGATGCCATAATCGTATTTATTACCAAGACACGTAAGTTAAAGCTAGTAGCCATGAAGATTTTAGCTGAAAATACTAGCTTAATATCCGCTATAAAACCACTTCATTATGTATCAAGTGTATTCGGACTTGCATATTTTTCAGTCCTCGAAGGTAAACAACACAGATGTAAAAGTACGATTCCATGGTCACTTATATGGACATGCATGTGGATCATTCTGTACTCTGCGAGCAGTTATCTACAACTGTCATCCAACTCCAATTCCGGAAATACTACAAAGATCACTGTTCTTAACACTGTACAAGCTACATCACTCAATGTGACATGCATCATTTCTCTCTGTATGTGCAGTGTTTTTAGAAGGCACCAGATATTTCAGATTATTAATAAACTAGAACTCATGACCAATACGTTTACGAAAACAGTGAACGTCACAACCACATATAGAAAAACTAAAATTTTAGTTTTACTCGAAATAATTTTTGTTCTTTTAGTGAATGGTATTTTAGCTGCAATATATATAGGCCTATACAATTCGCGTGATCTCACAATCTGGACTGGCCTCTCATTGGTTATAGAATTATTAGGCTGTGTGTGCGTATCCTTGATAATAATACAAGTTGCTACTGTGGTCTTGGTTTTGAGAGACAAATGTAAATGTATTAATCGCTTTCTTATGAGAGCCTCTGAAGACGATCTAAAGCATCCAATGACGATGTTTCAGACTTGTAAAGCAGTGGAGTTCCTGTACGTCGATACGTATATTTTACCATCTCAACTACACAGAAATCGCTTGTCCAGAAATCAAGTATTCGAATGCAGACTAATTTTAGCAGAGCTGAAGTCTGTGTCTCGCCTCATCTGCTCTTTCTATGGCTTTCCAATTCTTTTACTAAGTTTCTGGATGTTTATAAATATTGTTACTGTATTGCACTCAATTTTCTATTATCAGTCTACATTCTATGATAATGACGACTATTCAGGATTAATTAATTCGTTTGAATCGATGCTGTGGTGTGTATATTGTGCGATGCTGATGACACTAATGACGTTATCTTGTCATCTTGCTAGCGAGGAACCTAACATAACTATGTCACACGTACAGAATCTACTCTTATACCAGAATCTTGGTAAAGAAACAATAGAGGAACTCATTAAATTTTATTCACAATTAAGCGAGACGAATATTGAAATTACGGCTTCTGGTTTCTTTGTGTTAAACCTTCAGTTACTGTATGAATTTTTTGGTACAACCTTTGCATATTTTGTGATAATGGTTCAAGTAAATTAACGCTTTGAAGTCGAAACTCGTCTAAATAAAATTTAAAACTCCAGTTTGTACCGCAAATAAAATACTACGGATCACCATTAGAAAGATCAATTGGTTAATACTGTTTGCATTGAAAATCATATAAAATATATAAATACAAAATTCAGATTTACTGATTGTTAAAATAGCTGATGCATGTACTCTAGTTACAAAGTGTTGTGTTGTGTGGCGGTTTCTTTTTATTATTTAGTGTTCTGTCTGACGACAAGTCCATATGAACAGGATCCTTCCATCCTTTTCTCGGACTGGGACCTGTTCATATACGTTCTTGGCAGATGATCCAGAAGTGGTTTGCCATTGCCTTCTTCTGTGTGTGAATGGAGTAATTGTTTGGATGCCACGGAGAAACCGGGGAAGCCCCCGGAGGAAAACTCCATGGCCTTGCCCAACACAAGTTATAAATTCGGGCACCATCGGGAATCGAATCCGGGTCCCCAGGATTACAATGCCAGCGTTCTAACCGGTGTCTCGCGGTACTATTTTATTATTTCAAAAATTGAGGGATTTGAGGTTTTCACGGCTGTGAAGATGACAACTTTCTTCTGGGTTGTGACACCGTGAAAACTCATAAGTAGATATCAACGTTAAAAACCGTCCACCTCTAGAGCCCTGAGAATATCGTGATGAAAATTCTTTAATTAAATTCTTTTCGTGTTAGTATCGTTATGCGTCATCCTTAAAGAGTCGTCAGCTGGTTCATGCAATTAATATGATACGTTGTTTTACTTAGATTTCACATATAAAAATAGTAACAATTCGTATTTTTTTATTCGATTTTCCATCTGAAATTTTCTTCTCACAACTTGAATACATCGTCGAATTTTCAAGTTTCGTTTATTCTGTAGCTTAAACTTTTACGAGGGACCGAGTAATTTCCATGGCAACAGCAGTGTTCCAATGTCGCGTCGGAGATCTCTAAAACAAATACTTACTTTTTGCCTTGACTCATGAATAATTATTAATGTATATAATACACACTGATTTCAAACAGACTTTTCCTTTCTAGCAGTCAGTCAATCTTCTACTGATATAAGTGTAATAAAATAAAACGTTAGATTATTTTAACAGCTTGGGAGTTAGCACGTAGTTTGTAAATTCTTTCTGCTGAATATAAATGTTGAGCTACATTATATATTCTACTTTTCCTACTAGTTTCCTGTATATTTCAACTCAAACATATTAAGGTGTGCCGACATTGTCACATGATGTGTTGATTAATAAATAGTGAATTAAAAAGGATATTGAAGGAAGCGGTCGTGACCTGACTGAATGTTCTATCCCAATTTAAAAGTGCAGTGTCAAAATGTCCAATGATAGCATCACATTCAGATAGTAATATCTAGAAAATATATGTCTTGACACAAAACAACAAAAAGTAGGATGGGAATTCCCCCAATCTCTTTCCTTGAGTCAAAGACCAGGATAATTTTTATATGGTCCTTCAGAGCAAATTTTTCTGACAGCGCGAGACAGCCCAATAACAACACGTGGCCCCTGCTGGATATGAGCAACCCGCCTCACACGCGAGTCGGAGAAGTTGCCGCGACACCACGGCGAACTCACAGCTACAGAGACAAGTGAAAGCAGCCGGACCTAGTGGCTCTGTGATATTGCACATTACAAACGTTCGAAATCTCAATGTTCAGGAGGATATTTGGGCCTAAGGAGAATAAATCAACTGTGTAACTTGAGGCAGGCTATTAGCCTATACAATGAAGAACTTCAGAGAAGTATATCAGACACGTCAATGAACCTGTTATTAGGATACTTACGTAAATCTAAGAAGTTACGATGAGCTGTGAACGTAGCTCGTAGAAAGGAAAAAATATATCCAGATTTTTGTCGAAAATCCCTTCGAATCAGCAACTCGGAATAGCCTACTATTATAAAAAAATATAAATAATATTTATCTTAGGAAATAGGCCTACATTGTTACGATGGCACTGCCTACGCGTCGCATTTTCGTGTGGCTTCCATGGTTGGGCCCTAATATACATATTACACAAAGACCAAAAAATAAATTAATAAGAAACAACGTAGTCATGTGTAGGCCTACAATATGAAGCCCACAGATTATGGACAAAGAAGGAAAACCTAAGTACAAGCAATGTTACAAATTATCTGTCAGCAAAATACAGCCTGCTTCTTCCTTAAATTTGCTCTGAAGTCCCACATAAAGGGAATAAAAACTGTGTTTGAAGAACAGAATGATCCAACCAACTTTAATTTCCACTAGAGTGTGAAGTAAAATTTATAGACTAACTAGCGACTATCAGCTTCTCAACAAGACTCTGCGCCATGGGATTAATTAGTTATGGAGTCACTCTCAATTTGATACGTTCAGAATTTTTGCAACTGTTTGAAATGATTTTCCACTATGGATTCAGCATGTATTTTTGTATTTGCATTTGTTTTCTCTCCGACTAGTTTCGTTGAATTTATTTTGTCTGAATTGTTTCGTGCTCTCCTATCTTTAAAGTTATAATTTCGTATAACTAATATTTGTGCATGGCTGAGATCCGGTGAAACTATCCCGTTACACGCCAATGTTTGCACTTACGGGAGAGGAAATATAGCTCCTACTTGTTCTCTCCCTCGGCACTAGGAGGTGAGTGGTCAGTATCACGCCTCGGCTGCGTTCTACCACCGGCTCTCATTGGACAGGCTGGGCCCCAGAGGCTAGAAGAAAATACTTTACCTGTCGGGAATCAAAACGAAAGATCCTGTTATCTTTTCCAAAAATCCAGAAATTACGACCACAAGACTTTCTTAATTGTTGTCATGTTGTTATTGCGCCTACCGGTATCGCACAAGCATACACGAAACAAACACGCATGCGCAACCATGTGATTGAAGGAAAATATCAGAATCATATGAATTAAATCAGACTGCTCCTGCAGTCAGTCAATTAGCACCACAAACAGTAGACGCTTCCATCACTGGTTTGAGCAAGCAAGCTGGCCGCTCTAGCAAAATACAACCGCCGATCCCAGAGTGTTTACTGCCACTTTAGGAAGGGCCATCAGATCCTGGGTCGACGTTTGTAGAACGCACGTCAAGCAGTTTGGGTGATATAATACTTCCATAATTCCTACATACTACCAACCGAAATCAGGGTTCTGTATGTTTCGAAAAGGAATTTAAATAGATCGATCAGGTGTGCTACGTTGCTTAGGAACGGTTTGTAAATAGTGCGTTGCAGTCTCCAGACAATACAGTAGATTGTCTGTTGAGCCTGGACTATAGAAATGTTGACAAGACGCGAGAAGCTTCTGATACTACCGTGGCAGCAGCGGCGCTATAACCACCACAGGCGGAAGGTATCTATCAACTGCTGAGGTTATGTACTGTCAAATCAAATATGGCTGCACCGTGAATAATGAACAGGGAGGTATGAGGACTCGATTCATATCAATTTTAGGGTTAATCCCACATTGGCCTAGAAGGGCTGAGGAAAGCGATGATAGACCTGTCAGAAAATTTGGGATTCGAACCAGATGCCTTAAGAATCAGTTAAAATGTAATTACTATTGTTTCAGCTGACTTAGTCAATAAACTGCAACCCTCCTCAACAAAACAGTAAAAGGACTTTTACTGCAATTTTAAAATGGTTTCCAACATAACTTACTAACGTGGTGATCACTACTCAGCATCACTGATAGGATATTAGGGA